CTATATTTCACGTAGAATGTGACAGATTCTTATTTCACGTAGAATGTGACAGATTTTTATTTCACGTAGAATGTGACAGATTCTTATTTCACGTAGAATGTGACAGATTCTTATTTCACGTAGAATGTGACAGATCCTTATTTCACGTAGAATGTGACAGATCCTTATTTCACGTAGAATGTGACAGATCCTTATTTCACGTAGAATGTGACAGATCTTATTTCACGTAGAATGTGACAGATTCTTATTTCACGTAGAATGTGACAGATCATTATTTCACATAGAATGTGACAGATCATTATCTCACGTAGAATGTGACAGATCATTATCTCACGTAGAATGTGACAGATAATTATCTCACGTAGAATGTGACAGATCCTTATTTCATGTAGGCGCTGTATGGCCCTATAGTAGATCTCTGAATTTTGGAACTAGCGAGAGCCGGGTTCGAATCAGTGTGATACAACAAAATATGTTCGCACTTTAAGTTGTGGTGCGTTACATGGTGGGTGGTAGGTAGCTGTTGACTGACTGATTTTCCCTTGGTCAGTTGTTCAAACTAAGAAACGATGGCAGAAAACCTTAGAAGCTTTGGCATAAATACAAGATTCATATGCATATTTATTTCGTGTTATTGCATGTTTTTAAGTTAGGTTGATCTCAGCTGTCGTGTCATTATTTCAACTGCAGTAAGAAGTAATAGTACATATCAGGGATACGAACATAATCTGAGCATATTTTTGTCGTTTTTAACCTGCCATTCGCCAGATAATTAAGTTTCACGCAAATTACACAAGGATTGTCTGCGCATCAATTCTTACGCTGCTCATGTCTGATGGAATAGTGGGAGTTGACCATTACTCTTATAACGCAGTCAACGTTATAACGACTCCCCAAAAATGCGGAGCGCATTTTTGTGGCAACGTGTCGCAAACCATGCATTCTCTGATTTTGAATTCGGGCACGCCAACTACGAGTACACACCCGGCCCACTAAGACTATACGTAACCTTTATTGCATCACTCTGTGAAATTTACAACCCTGGAAAATGTTTAATGATGGAAAACAGGTAAATTAAAAATTCTTAATTACTAAGCAATTATTACTTGCTCTAAGAGCTGGTGCTGAAACAGCAAAAGTTTTAAACTGTGTAACCACCGTAAGCGCGCTTGTTGTACCTTTTGCATAATTACAAGTCATTAAAATAAAATTAGTGGAACTTAATGAAATTCTTTCGACTTAGACAACAAATATAAGTTCTTCAACATTTTATCTTTCTTTCTCTCTGCCCCCCAGTGGCAGAGCGGTATGTCTGCGGACTTACAACGCTAGAATCCGGGTTTAGATACCCGTGGTGGGCAGAGCACAGATAGCCCTTGTGTAGCTTTGTGCATAATTAAAAACACAAAACAAACTCTCTCTTTCTAAACACGCTAGCGTACGAAACGTGTGTTCAATATGCAAAATTTCAAAGTAAAAAAGGCTTAAAAGATTGTTTGTTTGTAATTAAGCACAAAGCTACACAATGGGCTATCTGTGCTCTGCCCACCACGGGTATCTAAACCCGGATTCTAGCAGTACAAGTCCGCACTGGGGGGGGGGGGGCTTAAACGAAATATTTCCTTTTAATATTCAGACACAGATGTAAATTGGCAATGACATCCGTTTTTTGTTGTTGTTGTTGTTGTTGTTGTTGATTTATGCAGCAACAGGTGATTTTAACTGATCAAATTACCCGGAAAACGTTACTACTATCCTCCCTTGGTTTTTAAACAGGGACGAATTGAAAATTCTCCAAGTGCTTTCTGAACTGTATTGAGCTGTGAAACTGAAAACGTGTCTCATATCACTCATGTCCGTCTAGGACTGCCAACAAAAACACTCAGTTTATAACGTCAGTTAAGTGGCTTTGTGTGGAACCAAATAATTAATCTTATGTCAAAACGTCGAATACGCTTCGCTCGTTATTTTTTATATTCAAATTATTTCTTTTCTAAAAATTATTCTGGAGCCATACATACATCTGCATTCCTATAACTTTCATACGTTTTGAAGTGTGATTATTAACACGTATTTGAACTCGTTACATCTACGTTTTGCGTCTTCTCCTGAAGCAACATAACAGAATATAAATCATGATGTATATATATACAATGGAACTCCTTGGTGGATCAGCAGCAAGTCTGAGGGCTTATAACGCTAAGAATCGGGTTTCGATATCTGCGGTGGGCAGTGCACGTTGTGTAGCTTCGTGCTTAACAACGAACAAAAAACATACAAAGGAAACTACAATGACAATATAATACTGTATCAGCTGTTTTCCTGTCGTGGGGTGTTTTCATTTGATGGATAGAATTCTTTGGCGAATAGGAGTTAGGAAAATTATACAAGGAATTTTAACCAATAAGATGTGATAAAACAATTTGTTTCCTCGGAGATGCTGACAGAAAAAAACTATTTTATCTCAGATAGACACCTTATAATTTTTATATTGTCTCAAAAAAATTGTTTGTTTGTAATTAAGCACAAAGCTACACGCAATGGACTATCTGTGCTCTGCCCAACACGGGTATCGAAACCCGGTTTCTAGCTTTGTAACTCCGCAGACATACCGCTCTGCCACTGGGGGTGGGGGGCGTCTGAAAAGGAGTGATAATAAGCTGAGTGTATCAAAAAAAAAACAACTTAATACTCAGTGGTTGTCACCTTGACGATTTTTGCTATGTAAACTGACGATGTACATTCAATGACACTTTAAAGTAAAGTAAACAGCATCCGGTTGAACTAATATAATTTAACTAACCGTTTTATTTTGTTCCACAAGACTTGAGAAGAGATTCGTAGATAAAGGGTAACGAATAAATTTACACGTCTAAATGACATTTTTTATAGTTTTGTGTAACGTTTCGGGCAGACCGTGTTCAGTGGAGTTAAGAACAGAAAGAATCGTTGAAGGTAACAAAATATGCCCGAAACGTTGCAAAAAATAAAACTATTAGACGTCAATTTAATATTTACTAACTATTTTATACATAGTTAAAATCCTATCTCCGCATTATTGATTTCACTAACTTTTGTTGTTTATATATATATACACCTGGAAAAAAGTTAAGCACCCCCGTGTTTTTTCAAGTGATTCAGCTTCGACGTTCTTGTGACTGATTATAAATTACCATTCAATCTAAACGTGTTTATCAAATGAAATTATGCATTATTGGGCACAAGAAAACAACATTATCACCGTAAAATAACAATTTTTAATTTACATATCATGACATCAAAATATGGACAGTTT